AGCCAGTTGACTTTCCTCAATAAGTCTCTGTATCACCACATAGCTGAAGCTGGCTCTATCAGCCAACCCACAACAATTTTGGAGTCTCCTTCAACTACCAAATGTTGAACTCCTAATTGTTCTGCAATCTGAATACCTTGTACAGCCGCTAAGATCTCAGCTCTATTACTCCTATTCCCATAGGGCCTAAAAACAATGCTAAAATGTTGCTCTCTTTATCTCTCAGCACCCCTTCTATCCCCGATGGGCCTGGGTTGGTTTCCTTGGCTATTACCATCAAAGTTCAACTTTGCCCAACCTTCAGGCAGAGGCTTCCACACTGCAGATTCCTTGTCCTTCCTTGTATGGCTATTGACCACCGCTTTCCAGTTTCTCCAAATATCATCAAAGGAAAATGTATGAAAGAAGTCCATAGTTCTTAACCAGTGAATGGCCCTAATCATTTTTCCTTTTTTTGTAGGCCACACAAAAAAAGGACCAAACAACTGACTTAATTCCATGGACAGATTCCACCTGCACCCAAACAAGGAAAAAATCCAACTCCAAATAGCACTAGAAAAGGAGCAAGATACAAGTAGGTGGGAGCAATCCTTACCACTAGCCCTACAAAGTACACACCAGTTAGAGGACAAACACATGAAAGGCCTTTTCTTCTGCAAGAAGTCCAAAGTATTAATCTTTCTATAAAACACCTCCCAGCAGAAAATAACAATTTTAGGAGGAACAGGTCTAAACCAAATCTCCTTGGTCGGAAAACCCAAATGTCCCCTGGAAGAGCAAAGGGACTTAAAAGATGAAGCACAAGTGAAAAAACCTTTTGGATGAGGAGACCATAATCTCACATCCGAACTAAGAGGGTCCAAAAAGCCATTGCCAAGAAGAGACAACAAGTCTGAAGCACTACTAAGTTCATCATCCCTCAAACCTCTCCGAAAGCCAAAGTCCCAAATTAAGGAAGAGGGTGAAGTAAGAGATGGGAGGAAATGAGAGAGAGCTTTTTTCCTTGTAAAGGGAAAAAGAATAGAGTGTTGGGAACCTGTCCTTAAGGGCAACAGTACCCACCCAAGTGTCTTCCCAAAATAAAACAGTCACCAGAATTGACATCATACCTGACCAAGTTGAGAAACTGAGGGAGGATACTCTGAATTGCTTTCTAAGGAGATGCCGACGTAGCTTGACGTGATACACCCGCATCCCATCCATTTTCCCGCTTGCGATGTATACTAGATATCACTTCATGCCACAACCTCTCCCTTTCTCTAAGCCACCTCCACAACCATTTTCCTAAGAGAGCTTTATTCTTCAGTGCTAACCTTCCTAAACGCAATCCACCCTCCTCTTTACTCCTACAAACTATTTCCCAATTGATTAGGTGATCTTTCTTTTCCTCCCCAGGCTCCCACATAAAAGATCTCATTATCCTCTCCAATTTTTTAGCCACCCTATTAGGAATCCTAAAGATAGAGAAAAAATAAACCGGTAGGTTTGCTAGAGTAGCTCTCAATAAAGTCACTCTCCCCCCTATAGAGATGTAGTTCTTTTTCCAAGAACCTAATCTTTTCTCAACATTTTCCAGAATTGGGGTCCAAAATCTACTCTCCCTTGGGTTAGCCCCTAGAGGGAGACCTAGATACTGCAAGGGCCAAGAAGAAATGGGACAACCTAAACAATCTACCACATATTGAAAGAGTCATCTCATTCAAATTAACACCTACCACACAACTCTTATCCAGGTTTATCTTCAAATTTGAGACATTCTCAAAGTGTTGTAGCAATGCTCTGAGATTCCTCACTCCTTGATGAGGCAAAAAAAAAAGAAGAAAAAAGGAAAAAAAAAAAAAAGAAATGTGTGAATGTATTCTGTTTTTCATGTTTTTGTAGTGGGATCCCAAATTGTTGTCTTTGAGTAGCTTTGTTGACAGTTAGGGACCAGGGGTATTTTCGTCATTTTATAAGTTAGATTTTTGGTCAGGAGCAGTTGAGTGCATTTCTGTTGGGTTTTGGTCTCTTGGGTCTTTTTGTAACAAAAGTAATCTTTTAGGTGTTCATTTGAAGTTAGTTTTGTTCCTAAGGAGTTGTTGGTGAGAGGGAAACATTCTAGGGGCTTATGTGTAAATATTTTAACTAGCTTGTCAAGCAAGCTAGTGAGTCTTATAAAAGAGAAGGGAGCTGTTTCTGTAGGGGTTTTTTTTAGTTCTTTCTCTCTTGTTTGAGCTGTAGCTCAGCCCCAGCCAAGGTTTTCAAGCATGGGGAACTTGGGTTTTGAGGAGTCGGCCCATTTTGGCACCTTCCAGTCCCTCCATCGCTGCGTGTCTGCGCGGGAGACCAGCTTGCTGCCATTGTTACTGTAGCGAAACTGTTCCAGGAAGAGTTTTACTTCAGGTTCAGGTCTGAAATCCCTAAAAATCCAACTTATTTTGCTTTTTTCAGTTTGGTATTTCGTGTGCTTATTGCAGTATACTTGAGGTACTACATGTAACTTGTCTTTCTGTCCACATCACTCCTCACCTGTCACCCCCTTTACAAAATATCATGATATCATCGGCAAATTGCAGGTGGGTTACCCGGACATTGTTCCTTCCAATTCTCCAACCTCTCACTTCCTCTTCCCTATCTGCCTTAGACATTAATCTACGGAAGACATCTACAACTAAGGTGAAAAGAAACGGGGAGAGAGGACCACCTTGTCTAAGGCCTCTACAAGTTGGGAAAAAATCTTTGACCACTCCATTTACAAAGACTGAGTAATGGCAGGACCTAATACAACCCTTTACCCAGTTGCACCATCTATCTCCAAAACCACAACACCCTAGGACCTCAAGTAAAAAACTCCAATCCACAAGATCATAAGCCTTCTCTAAATCTAGCTTACATACAAAACCTTGAGTCCTAGACTTTCTCATGTCCTCCACACACTCATTTGCTATTAAGATCTGATCCGTTATATGCCTTCCCTACATGAAACCACCTTGTGCTTGAATGATGATGGAGGGTAGTACTACTCGAATTCTCAGCGATAACACTTTAGCCAGGATTTTATAGATGCTTGTCACTAGACTAATCGGCCTAAACTCCTTAGGGTCCTTTGCATCTGCCTTCTTGGGGTTAGGGCTAAGAAAGTAGCATTAGCTCCAGGGCTTACCGTTTTTTTATTTGCAAATTCCTAAAATACCCCAACAAGGTCTTCTTTAACCACATCCCAACAATCCTAATAAAAAGCCATTGTAAAGCCATCTGGACCAAGAGCTTTGGATCTATCCATTGAAAACACCGTTTGTCTGATCTCTTCTTCACTAAAATCCCTTTCTAACCAATTTACTTGTTCTTCAGACAATCTAGTCCAATCCAAATCTTCTAAAGTTGGCCTATTATTCAACGGTTTCCTATAAATTGATTTGAAATGATCCACAAACAATCTGGCTATCTCATCTTGATTTGTGACTTCCTCTCCATTCACTTCTACCATAGCCACAAAATTTTTTTCTTCAGATCCCATTAGCCATTGCATGGAAAAATTTTGTATTTCCATCCCCTTCCTTAATCCATTTGTGTCCTGACTTTTGCCTCCACGAAATTTCCTCTCTTAGAAGGACCTCTTCTTGATCCTTCTTTAGGTTTCTTCTCAAAATCCTTTCTTGCTCACTCATCATCCTTTGAGCTTCTTTGGAATCTAGTTCCTCAATCCTAGCCACCAAGGTAATTTTTTGCTCCTCTATCCTTCCAAAGTGTTCCCTATTCCACTCCTTGATTTTGGATCACAACCTTTTCAACTTTTTGTGAAATCTCACTCCATTCCAAATCACCCCTCTTAAGTCTTCTCTCCACCATTCCCCAATCAAGTGCACAAAATCCGAGTAACCACATATTCTCAAATCTAAAAGGTTGTGGTCCAGAGGTTAATGTTTCAGCACTTAACTGGATAAGGCAGTGATCAGAAGTGACTATGGGTAGAGCTCTAGCCATCAAGTTCCTCCAATGGTTCTCCCACTCTTTAGTAAAGAGGAACATATCTAATTTCGAACAAAGGGGGTTTTCTTGGAAATTAGACCATGTAAAATTGGCTTGTAAAGAGGGGTAAGTCCTTTAGACCACAGGTATTAATAAATTCATTGAACTTCCTCATGCTGGTTGTAACCGTTCTTTAGGGGTTATTAGATTCATTACAAAACCTAATTACACTAAACTCCCCCCTAAGACACCAAGGACCCTCCCAAAGACCTCGTATGCCATACAATTCTTCCCACATCTCATTTCTCTCTTCTATACGTGTTTAGCCCACAAACATTGGTTAAAACCCAGGTGAAACCATCCCCCACATTCCTAACCTTTAGAGACATAAAAATCTCCCTATTAGCTCCACTAATTCTACAGCATCCTCCCTCCATAAGGTTACTAGACCTCCAAAGGCTCCACAAGAAGGAGCCGAAGTCCAACAAACTCCTCCTGATCTCCATACACTTTTGACCCATCTTCTATCCAGTTCTGCCAGCTTGGTTTCCTATATCAAGACTATGTCCAGTTTCTCTCTTCTTAATAGGTCTTTAACTGTCCTTCTCTTTCTTTCACTTCCCAGACCTCTCACATTCCAACTGATGATTTTCATTGAGCACTTCTTTCAAAAAGCCCTTCCCCAAAGACTCCACCTTACAGTAGAGTCTTTCTTCTTTCCCCTCTCCCACTAAATTCAATGTTGCCCTCAATGTGTTTCCTTCTCTTGCAAAACTTATCAAAAAATGAATCTAATTACAAATCAAAAGATTTACCAAGTCAAATGAGACAAGGAAGACTTGTATATCCATTTCAATTCTATAGAACTCAAGGTGGATAAGAGGTGCATTGAATGTTTGGGTTGGTGCAATGCAGCTACTATCCCAGAAAAGAATTTTATAGATGCTAGATACTCTTGGATGCATGTGAACATTATAGATAGAAATAAAATAACAAAATAGAAATACCAATGACACAAAGAAATGAAGAAAATGAGAAGTATGGAAGTTTGCCTTTCATCAGTGCCGTAAGCTTTTGAATGCCTCCATAGTAGCCAAATACTTTGCAATTGTGCACTGAGCGAGTTACAATTGTCAAAGCTTCCAAGATAGGTAACCCATCAGCAGTTATATTCGAGATCAAGAAAGTCCCTGAGTGGTCCATAGATTGTGTTGTACTGGTGTTTACTGGATTAAGAAAGAAAAAGAAAATTGTTAGAAAGTAAGCTAGTCTACTTTAGAATAAGACTTGTTTTATACCCTTTGAAAGTAAAATATCCCAGTAAATATCAGTATCATAATTGTTAAGAAGCAATAGAAAAGAGGCATCTTTATAAATAAAAACAATAGGTGCACTTACATTCACTCACAAGAGCAGTTAATTGTGCTATCTCTTGAGCTAGAATAAGAATTATTTCAGCAGGATGTCCAGCAGAGCAACCAACAACTACATCATTAAAACTTGATGAATATTCCCCAGGGGTAGATAGAGCAGCCTCAGGCAACTGTTTCGAAAATGCAGGAACCCAGTTCTTGTATACAAGTAGGAATTGCTTGAGGAAAATGTGAAATAATTTCCTCTTTTCAGCCTAAAATAGCATGAAAGATTATAACAGGAGATCAACTAAACATGCCAAATTGTAATAGCACAAGCAATCATTGCAACAAATTCAAAATCACCATGCAAATTATGTATTGTTAACAACCAGTTTGCAAATACTGTCAACATATAGTCATGTATCATGTATTGGAGAGAATAAAGAACAGCATAAATACAGAAAATTAGCTTTCCTTTCAGTGATAAAACATAGGGTCCCCAAAACAAAAAGGAGTGAAACTACCTGGCAACTAAAACTATTGTACATTCATTTTTTATCATTCTGGTCTTTTCCTTCTTCCCCAAAGGAAAAGACTATGCAGGGATCTTAGCTATTGGCTATATTGTCAAGCATTTCAAACAAGAAAAATCCAGAGATCTTCCAGGATAAGATGCACTGCATTCAGTTAACAATTGATCTAATTATGATCAGGATAACAGATTAAACCCCCATTCTTAAGGAGATTAGAGTTATCAACATGCTGTAGAATGAAAGAGGAGAGGCCTCATAGGTGTTAGGACATGCCCTGAGGGAGGCAAAGGTTTTGGCTTATAGCCCAAATCTATATGGTAGCTGAGGAAGGTTTTGTTCGTGCAGCAGGAAGGCTCTGTCGCTCGGTGCCTAGATCAGCAAATTGTTTCGTTGAGTTACATGCAAAACAAGGTGTAAATAGGGAACAACTGTTGAGGGGTAACCAATGAAAGCTGTATGTAAAAGCTATATGCAATAATAAAGGTGGGATTAGGCAGTGAAGGCTGTATGTTGCTCACGTGCCTAGATCAGCAAATTGTTTGGTTGAGTTATTGCAAAACAAGGAGTAAATAGGGAACAACCGTTGAGGGGTAACCAATGAAAGTTGTATATAAAAGCTATATGCAACAGTAAAGGTGGGATAGGCAGTGAAGGCTAGCCTAGCAAAGGGGGCAAATTTCACCTACATAACAATCTTTTATCACATCAATAAAGCTTTACATTAACATTAAAAACCAAAAAAAGGAAACAAGTTGAATGTAGAAACATGAATCAAAACAAACAATACTAAGAAAATTATTTAACGATTTAATTTAAATTTAATTATACTGAATTATCATTAAAAACAAAAAAAAGGAAACAAGTTGAATGTAGAAACATGAATCAACGCAAACAATACCAAGAAAATGATTTAATTTAAATTTGACTATACTGAATTATCAAATATTATACATTATGCATTCATGTCCAAATTCTACCCTAAGAGGTTAGGGTTCTTTAATCACACATTAGTGCATTACAGAGTTGACAAAGAGATGAGTCCCTTCAACTGTCATATCAGTGTCAGTGTCCATATGTACCTGACACGTATACGTTACCTGTTCTGATTTCTGAATTGTCCATGTAACATAAATGGGGATCATAACAATGTAGTAAGGCTTTGCCCATTCTTTATGGAAGACCAGAATGTGCTCCCCACCCCCACCCCTTCTCTTTTTTAACACAATTCTATACATTATTCATTGAGAAACCATCATTGCACATGGAAATTTGCTACAACTTCGAAAAGAACAAGAAAAAGTAGAGAGGATAAAAGAGAACAAATAAATTTACCAAGAAACCTGAAAAACAAATTTTCATAAAAAAAAAAATAGTGTAGAAAGAAAACAACCAATAATAAGATGCAACATCCAATAAAGTTCTGCCGGAATAATTAAAATTAGCACCTACAGTTGGTCATCAGCCTTGAATTTTTTTAGAGAGTCCCCTCAGCAAAGATATTAAAACAATAATGCAAAGAAAAATAGCAGACACTTGGGATCAAATCCCGCCTGCACCTGGGTTGGGGGTTATGGGTTGGAGTTGGGCTACCCCCCCTGTTGTGTAGCCTTCAAAAGAAATAAAAAAATGCAGAGAAAAATACCTTATCAGTTGCATTTTCATGTCTTCCCCAAAGTGTATGCAGAATTGCCTCATCTCCAACCTCACTAAAGAAACAGAGAAATTACAAAATGTTATTCAGATAACTTCAACCATATTTAAATGCCAATGAGATTGGTAAACCTTAAACCAACTTCAGAAAGCAGCAAAGCAAAATAAAACCAGAACTGGATATGTCAATCTTAACGGTTAGCACCACAACATAATTGTCACGAAATTCTTGATATGCCGATCCTTCATAGTGCAATATATATACATAGAGCTTAAAAGAAGAAAGAAATGCAAAAATATTGGAGGAGGAGAGAAATCAAGAGGTAATCTTTGAATGCGTAATGGCCAAGGCAGTACACATTGGGCTAAATCTTTGGAGCTCTTCTCAACCTTTTCTCATGATGACTTATGGAGAATGTGGGGAGAGGTGGCTGCATCCTATTCAAGGAAACCAAAAAAATGTATTCAATGAATACCATCTGAGGAAAGCTTTATCAAGCTCAAATTTGATGGAAGCAATGTAGGAAATCCAGGTCCATCAGATGTGGGAGGAGGATTTAGAAATGCACAAAGGCACACCACTGCTATCTTTTCAGAATCAATCGACTATGGGGATTCAACAAGGTCTGAGCTTCCTGCAGTACTTCATGGATTACAGCAGGCAAGAGAAATGAGCATCACAAAGTTAATCATTGAAGGTGATTCTAAATTGTCACTGGATGGTTACAAAATAGTCAGAAAGCATTATGGAATTATAGAAATGAATTTAGCAGATTGAATGGCCAAAAAGGAGCACGATTATAAATATAGAATGTATTGATCAAAAAAATTATAAACATAAAAATGAGTGCAAAGACTTGCAAAGATTTGTAAATGGGTTAGCTGATGCCTGATGATTTAGCTAAGCAAGGGGTTAACAGTGTAAAATCCCTATTGGATTCTAGGTTAAAGTAGAGAAGAAGAGGAGAAGGAAGAAGAAGAGAAGAAGAAGAAGAAGAAGAAGAAGAAGAAGAAGAAGAAGGGTTTGGCAAGATGAGGAAAAACTATCCTCTCTAGTCAACCCACTTGCATTTATCTCACATAAGCTTGGTTACAAGAAAGTCAATATTGCTCCTCATAAGTGATGGGACACACAACTTAAACATAAATAAAACAGACCTTTCACTCTCACACAGATGCACCCAAATGACCAAAATACCCCTGTTCTGTGAACTCTAACACTCCCCCTCAAGCTGGAGAGTATATGTCATATAGTCTCAGCTTGTTACAAATATAATCTACTCTACCTCAAGACAATCCCTTTGTAAAGAGATCTGCCCACTGATCTCCCGAGCTCACATGAGATGTGATTATCACTCCACTGATCACTTTCTCTTTTACAAAGTGACAATCAACCTCAATATGCTTGGTTCTCTCATGGAAGACTGGATTGGAAGAGATGTGATGATGTGGAAGCTTTTATTGGGAAGACATATCACTGCCGGCAACAGCAGTAAAAGGAGCAAGATTTGCTGATTCTCATCTTATCTAATTCTAGCTAGATACAGTTCTTATCTTATCAGTTCAGTAGGATAGATTAAGGGAGTCTTATCTTATCTTATNTGATTCTCATCTTATCTAATTCTAGCTAGATACAGTTCTTATCTTATCAGTTCAGTAGGATAGATTAAGGGAGTCTTATCTTATCTTATTAGTTCAGTAGGATAGATTAAGGGAGTCTTATCTTATCTTATCAGTTCAGTCTTATCTTATCTTATCAGTTCAGTAGGATAGATTAGTAGGGAGTCTTCCTAAAAGTAGGACTCTTATCTCTTGTAATCTCCTATTTAAGGAGCTGATATTATTCAATAAAGGCATCGAAAATTTCACTCAAGAAAGAGAGCAAAGAAGAGTTGGAGATCTCTTGAACAAATCACCTTTTAGGGCGGCAAGATAGGTTCATCAAGAGCAGGGAGGAACAAGGGAAAACAGGAGGTTTTCCCCGTGGACCGACCCGTGACGAGATCCTACTCCCAGGCCCATAACATGTGAACAGCTGCTTGGTTATCACAGTGTAGTCTCAAGGGTTTGTCAAATGAGAACCCCATCTCCTGTAACAAGTTCTTCAACCATACTAGTTCACATGTGTTATGAGCCATAGCTCTATATTCACCTTCTGCACTACTCCTTGCCACCACAGTTTGTTTCTTGCTCTTCCAAGTTACAAGATTGCCACCAAGGAAGGTACAATACCCTGTAGTTGATCTCCTGTCTGATATAGAACCAGCCCAATCAGCACCTATATATCCTACTATCTCAAGGGGCCCTCCACTTTTATATAGCAAACCACGGCCTGGAGCCCCCTTCAGGTACCTAACAATCCTTAGAACTGCTTCCCAATGAGGAATCCAAGGATGTTTCATAAACTGACTCACCATACTCACAACAAATGATATATCTGATCAGGTAATAGTCAGATAATTCAGCTTTCCCACCCACCTCCTATATCTTCCAGGGTCATCAAACTCCTCACCTACATCAACACTCAACTTGACATTCAGTTCCATAGGAGTCTCTGTTGGTTTAGCACCTAACAATCCTGTTTCTTCAAGTAGGTCAAGAACATATTTTCTTTGACATAATTTAATTCCATGTCTTGACCTCGCAACTTCTATTCCCAGGAAGTACTTCAACTTACCCAAATCTTTCGTATTGAAGTGGTCTTGTAGAAATTTCTTCAACCTGTCAATTCCATTACTGTCACTCCCAGTTATGACAATATCATTCACATACACAACTAGCAAGATCTTCCCATCTTTTGAATCATGGATGAACACAAAATGGTCTACCTGACACTGTTTCATCCCAAAGTTTTTCACTACTTCACTGAACCTACCAAACCATACCTGAATGGGCAAGGGTAGTTGTGTTCTGCTGAGAAGATGTTTGAATGAACTGCTCATATATTGCACGAAGTACACTCACCATCTCCTTCCCTGATGGAGGCCCATCCCAAGGCCCACATCACCTTAGGGGCGGCAGCTCCAAGGATAAAGATAAGTCAAGATCCAAGAAAGAGATAAGTCCAAGATTCAAGATAATCAAGAATTCAAGAATTCAAGATAAGTCAAGAAAGATTCAAGATCCATCAAAGAATTCAAGATAATCAAGAATTCAAGAATTCAAGATAATCAAGAATTCCAGAGATCAAGATAATCCAAGACTTCCAAGATTCATGCCTGGAGATCAAACGGTGAAGATCATGGCAAAGAATTCGATCCTATCA